ATTCCCCTCTGTTCTGACGTCACCGCGCTTTCTGATTGGCTACCTGTCACATTCAGCAGGTTGTATTCCCAGTCAGGGTAAACCCCACAGGCTGTGATAAAAAGACCAAGACGACCCAAATTGGGTATATTCAGGATTTAGCGGGAACACCAACATGCAGAAGCCTTATCCATGAAATACATGTTAAATGATCCATTGGTTAGGCTCTTTGCATAGATGTCTGGCCAAGATGGCGGCTCCAGTTCCCCATCTGGGACATACTTGATTATGCACCATATTTACATTGGTAGTTAATTTGGACTTTTGTGTAAGTAAGCGTTTGATTTTCATTGAGAGATCGTACATTCCCCAAACTGCACACACGAACCCCCCCCAAAACTCTGTCCCATAAAGAACCCATAACAGAGTAACGACAGGTAGAAAATTCTCCTGAACAACCTTTACATCTCTGGCGGCTCCAGCAGCTTAAACTGACTATTCATGACATTCTACACATATTTCCAAAATTTACCACTAACATATATTATGGCTTATCCAAGAATAGGTTGACTCACAAGGAACTGAAGGGTCATCCATGCAACAACAACAAACAAATAAAACCTTAATATCTTGAACAACGTGAGTCACCATCCTTTTCATCAATGTTCGATTATAATCAGCACCACAGTCATTTCAGCCACTGGAAGTTTACTCACTTGGCTGTTCTGTCAGACATTTTTGAGCTTCGGCAGGAGAGAAAAACTTAGATCCCATGTGTTTTATTTGAAGCTGAGCTGGGAAAATCAGCGCATAATCCATCTCTGCTGCGCTGCAGCTCAGCGCTGTAATCCGGACAGAACACCATTTTCTTGCTCTGGAACATCGTCTCACCCTTGTTTCTGGCCAGTCGAAGAATCTTTTCTTTATCTCTGTAATTCAGGAGCTTAGCGATAATGGGGCGAGGTCTGTCCCACCTTTTGCCGATGCAGTGTGCTCTCTCCAGGATGATAGGCAAAGAGAAGTTTTCGCCCCCAGGATCTGAGGTGTAGCCTTCTCCAGAAATCCTACCGCGTCTTGACCTTCAGCTTGCTCCGGTATGTTTAAGATTCTGATGTTCAACCTCCTGCTGCGGTTTTCCAGCTCGTCCATTTTGTCTTTGATGCCTGTAATGAGCCTCTTTAATGTCGTCCTCCTTTGCGCCCTCAATCTCCTCAACCTGTTCTGCCAATGTAGGTCAGGATGTCTCGATTTTCGTTAGGGTTGCTTGCGTATCGGCTGTTTTCTTGTCAATGGGCATTGCGAGCTCGTCCTCAGTTTCCTGGATAGCCTGCAGAAGTGTGGAAAGCGTCGTCTCTTTTTCTCTGTCCGCCATGTTTTTTGTGGTTGCAGCGTGTTGGGAGGTCTGAGCCGTGCTTTTCTTCCGTTTTTCTTGTCAAAAATTATAGCTTGCCATAGAAAAATATCCCGTGTCCTCAATACTCGTATATAAACAGAAGTCATGAGAAAATTTCCAGCATAAAGGAGCTACTGGAGTCCTCACCCCTCCTCTGCATCCGCGATCCCCCTTCTTCTCTCTACCAAAGACTGGATGTTAAAGCTTTCAGGTTGGTGCTTTGGTCTCAACTAAACCTTTTTTTAAGGAAAATTTTATTTACAAAGACTTCAAAATTAATTTCATTTGTTGTTTTGTTTATTTATGTTGGATATTTGAAACCAGTTGCAGTGTTAAATGTTCATTATAGTTCACTGATCTTTCAGGTTGTGTTCTTGCATTATTGTTTTGCCATAAACATTTTACTTAAAAATGGTCTCAAAACTTCTGGAACAATTTATCGTCCATCAAATTTAGTTACTGTGACAGGCCTGCACACATGTGATATATAGTGTAGTTAGTTTGAAAGAGTCATTTGATTACTCAATGAAAAATTCATCCATCAGCTAGATTACAGTAACGCGTTGATGACACCATTGTTTGACAGTTTTGCTCAGGCTATTTACGGATCTGTCAGGTTTCCGATACGTTTCCCCCGATGGTAAACTTGTTCCTGCGCCCTGGGAAGCTCCTAAAAGGGAAGACTGGGTCGATGTAATGAATACATTTACATGATGGAATCTGGAAAATGTAAGAATTATTGACAGGATTTTATTTCGCCATGGAGATCAGACGGTTGAATAATACTGAGGGTTTTAGAGCTGCAGACTGTAAATAGTTTGCTCACTTTCAGTGAGAAGAGATTTAAAATTCTGATGACCTGAAGAGAAGAACTGACAGGAAAACCTGATTCAGATGTTTTAGTTGGTAAGTGTCGGGTAGCCTGGGGAACGTAGAGAACAGCAGCGTTGTTTTGCGTCTCCGTGAACTTTGACCCTTCACAGAATAAACCAGTAGAACCGGTCCGGAGCAGAAGCGCCTCACCTCCCTCCACCGTGGCGCCCCAGCCGGTGATCCAGGCCTCCTGGCCGGCCGGGAAGTGGTGTGCGGCAGACGGCAGGCAGACGGGCCAGATGTTCTGGTTCAGAATCAGGTCCGGTTCCAGCTCCATCAGGGCGATGTCGCCGTCCAGGCTGACCCGGTCGTAGTCCGGGTGGACCACGATCCGCTTCACCTTCCGCTGCTCCGTCCACTGGTTGCTCTGGCCCTGCGCGTGCAGCCCCAACCAGGCGTCCCATCGGTCCGCCGCAGCGTGCCTGCGCCATGGATGGAGGTCAAAGGTCAGGACGGTGCAGCGCCACCTGCTGCGTATCCACAGAGACAACCTGGAAATCTATGAAGGACTTTTTCTGCCATAACTGGAGAGCACACACTGTCCGTCTGAAAGCAGGACTTCATGTTTTCCTTCTCAAAACTTGTGATGCTTGAACTCCAAACTTCTGCTCTCAAATATTCACTCTGCTCTCTCAAACCTTTCTGCTCGCACTCAAAACTCGTCTCTCTGCTCGGATCAAATCTCCACTTGCAAACCTCTCTGCTGGCTTACGAATCATTTTCTGCTTGCACTTGGAACAGAAAAGTACCGTCACCTGGCAACCTCTCAGCCAGTAGAATGCAAATGTTGTCTGGGTGCGTTTATTTCCTTCTAGTGGGTGAGCCAGTGTGGCTGCTACCAATGATAGCAACCAGCGCCACACACTGGAGAAACAACAACCTCAGCTTTCTGCTCTGTGTTACAATAAACATCCACCAGCTGAGCTAACAATCGCTAACGGCTACTGATCTTAGGCAGGAGTTTGTTCACCCAAAACAAGAAAATGGATCCACAGATCCAACCATGTTACAACATAGTCATAACATGAGATTCCTCCCTGTTAGTTAAATAGATGAATATGTTTTCTGTTACATAACAAATAACAGAAAGCTCCCTGTCGGATCCTTGTCGTGGTTTTCTCGTGTCCTTGCTGCCTTGTCCCTGTCTCATGCTGGTGTCCTAACTATCTGTGCTACCCATCAAGCCGTCCTACCTTGCGATGCGCACATTGATGCTGCGTCACAATCTGCTGACTCGGCAGATTTCTTATCCTACCTGTGGAAGTTTCGTTTCGTCTCTTTTATTTCGTCAAAGATTAAGGTAAGCTTGATTTAAATGATTGTATTTACACCTGGCTTTATAGCCCTGTTCCTGTACTTTAAAATATTTTAGTTTAATTACACAGTTTTTATTAAACCTTGCTAAATAGATGTTGGTAGCGATACTCCGTGGGACTGAAGCTGTAATAGCGGTGTAATATCAGTGTATATTAATCATATCCCATCATTTCAGTGAGCTGCAGGTCGGTGACACATTGTGGCTGAAAACAGACATGAAGTATTAATGAGCATAAAGGAGCTGCAGTGATCTGTATTTGTCTGTGTTTAATTTAATTTCAATAAAACCTGCTTCCCCTGTCTGATACTGTTTCATGCTTACAAACACCTCTGTACTTNANATGTTTTGTAAAAGGTAGCATATTCTAATAATTAGTGCAAACATCTTCAGGTTTTTATTTTAAACGGGTAGGATATTCAGATGAAGGAAGTGATCTCCTTGTGGTTTCGTCGTGTATATAATTTGTTCCAATGCTAAGCTAAGCATAACTCCTAAGCTTCCACTTCAGTCACTTAAATAATGTTATCCAATATATTTAACATTAACAACCTGCTGCAGATTGTAAACATGATGTAGCAGTTTTAGACGGGCAGCACCAACAGATAGACATACCCATCAACCCGTACTATGGCAGGAAAATCTGACGAGGTAGCACAGATAGTCAGAACAC